GCTGGCTTTTCCCTGAGCGATGTCTGGAATGTAAACTGGTCTTCTTCAGCATTCCAGCACACACCCAGAGTCCGTTCGGTTGGCAATTCGTCTAAAGAAATTGGTACAGAAGGAGCTCGTTCAGACTTTTCTATGCTATCTAATACCGACCTGTCATTGCTTAACCACTTAGTTAAGCGAAATCCGCCCTTGTCGAGAATCTCAACAAGTCTCTTAACTAACTGTATAGCTAATTCGGCGTTTTCTACAGAACTCAAGCAATCATCGACATAGAAACTATTTCTAATGATTTCTGTCGCCCGTCGACCAATTTCATCGTTGTTGCTGACCTCATTGTCGTCTGCCGTCTGTTTTAGGGCCTTTCCAGCACACGACGGCGAAGAAGTGGCACCAAATAGGTGAACACACATCCTGTATTCCTTGGGCAGCTTACTAAGATCGCCTCCCTCCCACCAAAGAAACCTTAAAACGTCTCTATCGGACTTAATCATACGTACCTGATGGAACATTGCCTCGATGTCGCTAACTATGGCTATCCTGCATTGCCTAAACCTTAGCAAGACGCCTAATAGATCATTCATTAAATCTGGTCCTTTCAAAAGCATATCGTTAAGCGATGTTCCACGAAATTTCGCTGCACAGTCGTAGACTACTCTTACCTTATTTTTCAGAGGATGGATGACTGGGTGGTGAGGCAAATACCAAATATTACCTGATTTTGTTTCTCCATCAGTTACTGGCTCAGCATAACCATTCTCTATGTAGCCCTGTATAACTTTTGTGTATTTCATACGAGTTTCATCGTTCGTCGATAGCCTTCTTTTCAGGGACGTAAGTCGTGACTCTGCCATTGATTTGTTATAGGGCAAATCGTGGTTATCGTACTTCCAAAGTAGGCCCATTTCATAATGGCCATCGCCAGTTAGACCTATAGTAGATTCCATAATTTTACGAGCCCTGATGTCTTCAACTGAATCTTGCTCTTCACAGAGACCACTATTCTCTATAGCCCATGACATTTGCACTTCTTCCAACAGTCTTTGGTTACTTACCTGAATATGGTGGCTTGTGACAGTTCTTCTGCCTGGACCACCTGGTCCCATCACCGACCAACCTAGCAAAGTCTTAACGGCATAAGGGTCTTTACTATTTCCTTTCCGTTTGCTCTTACGTTCTTCGAGCACCCAAAATGCCTGAGGGGCATCTGAACCGATCATTAGGCCCACCTCATCAAATTCATAGTCCTCCCAGGGAAGATTGTTCAAGTGACTCCATTTACCTAAGTCGTTGACTCTGGGTCGGCTATCAGCAGATGCTGGTATCTTTGGGACTGAAAGGAAATCAACAGGCATAACTTGATCTTCGTACTTACCTTTTACTGTAAGTTCGAATTTGAATCCTACTCTATCTATGTCACCATTGATAGTCGTGGATTTGTACTTTATCCTCTCGCCACGTACACCTAATTGTTTTCTAAGGCTTTCAGAACAAAGGCTAGCATCAGAACCCTGATCAAGTAAGGCAAGGGTACTTACCTGAATACCGGTGTAAGTAGTAACAACTACTGGTAGGATTCTTAAATAAACGCGTCCACCGCTCGATGTACAGTTAGATGTTATCTGTTGGTCAGGGCTTGCTTCAGATCTTGGTGGCGGATGTACTGCTTCATGGTGCTTACCTGAACCACACTTTTTGCATGTCCATTTCTTAGTACACTTTGCTGCTACATGGCCTGGTGCCAGACACCTAAAGCACAGCCTTTTCAACTTCACCAACTGCACTTTTTGGTCATATGAGTTTTCTGCAAGACTACTGCATGCATAGACACGGTGATTACCATCACATACATAGCATTTTAATGGATTGCTACTAACATTGTTAGTCCTCACACTAACCTTATTGGCAGGTTTAGAACACGTACTGCTCACATGGGACTTGGAAACATTCCTACCGAACATCGTGCATGATATCTCAGCCTGATGTTCCAGGAATTCTAACAAATCTTTGAATCCTGGTTCCCTAGACTCATTACCATATAGGATAGAATGTGCCTTCTTGGCCCAAGAGGTTTTAAGGTACATAGGGAGCAATTCCTGTATCCTTAACAGATTACTGGTACTGTTCAAGTCACTAGTATAGCCTATTTTTGTTAGGGTAACGTGACACCTTTTCATGGTAGCAATTAGTTACCACAACGAATCACTATCGTTGGGTTTCAGCGGCTTGCGATCCAGCAATTCATGCATAAGCGCATTAAGCACCATGTGCGGCTGACCAAACTGTCTCTTTAGTATAGTTTTCGCCTGCGCATAACCTTCATTACCTGGTAGCAACGCACAGCATTCAATGCAGTTATGCGCTTTGCCTTTACACATTTGAAGTAAGTATTGCAGACGTGTAGCATCACTACTGAGTTTGCATTCAACATTAATTTCAAAATTAATCATAAAAGCATAGAATTCTAATGGATTACCATTGAAGTCGGAGAACTGTGCCTTAGGTAGCTCTAGGGCTAGTTTAATCTCATTAAAGCCACTCAGGCTAACACTAGAATCACCACTAGAGGTTGATTCTGCTACATTCGGGTTATTAACAATAACTCCGTCTGACTCAATTGAGCCTTCACTAATTGAAACAACATTGTTAGATTGTGAAGCACTAACATTTACTTCATCGTTGGCTAAATTACCGTCATTACTTAAATCGCCACCAATTGCGGCTTCACTGGATGAAGATTGCAACGAACCAACATCACCTTGATCAGAACTATCATTAGAGTCTGATTTAGCATTATCAGTGGCATGTCCACTGGTATTTATTACATTGGAATACCTTATGGCTGCAGTGCGAGCCTTCCAGAATGCAGTATGGCACTCGTCCATCCATGTTTCAAAGATGTCGGCTTCCTCATCGTCTGCTGCATCGGTAAGCTGATTGTGAATCGCTTCAACTGCATCGAAAGCTTTCTGACTCTTCGCCAACAACTCCTTCACAGCATCACGATCCGCATCCCCATCTTCGATTGTTCCCATCATTGTGTTCAGCAATCGCGTCAATGCACCTTTACGCGTTCTTCTCTGTCGCAGAAGGTCTGTCTTTTCATCCTGTGTCGACATCTTTAGCGAAGTCACTCACTGTAGAATGCGGAAAACCAATTCACACACTCTGGGGTGTCACCGGGTTTAATACGTCACACAAACGACTCAGACGAACAAAGTTCTGGTTCTAATTCATTTATTGTTTTCTGTCTCGTGGTTTTAACTTCACTAATTTCCATCTACCTGTACGTCTGGTGACTAAACGAATAACAAATACCATTTGTAAGAAACATTACATAGACAATTAATAAACCTGTAAATGATCATATAAAACATCAGTATCATTGATAACAACGTATCTCAAAATTAACTATAGTATAGTGAATATCAAATTATAATTCGTTATTCAGGTATGCATATCC